TACGCAAGCAAGCACGTAAAAGTTAAATATATTCGTATTATGTCTTACTCCTAGAAATACCCATATGTTCTTAGATGGTACGAATGAATTGTATCTCACACGACGTACGTTTCCTACACGTCATTCTTTACTAACACGTGCAGCTATCTATCAGTGGTACTAAGAAAAGATAGTGAGGTTTCGTCTCATATACAGTTCTAGGACAGAAGTTTTACACCATCCATATCTGATGATCAAGATACTGGATCAAATGCAGCATAGTGAAAAAGTATTTAAACGTTGTGGAAATCTAGAGTTTATGGTTTTTTAAGAGTAAAAAAAAAAAAAACTCCAATTATGCGTTGCTATGAGACTTATAAACTAGAAACTGAACAGAGAGAGAATGAACACGTAATTACTAAACAGTTTTATTTCACTGACTAGAAGTTTTTCGCAGATCGTAGAAACGTATGTTACTTACCTTTAACCACTTGACGGCTTTAGGTAACACTGTGACATTATTTATGCAATCAAAATGTTCAAATTCATGCGCTTTCTTTTCGCCTTACACACATGTACTCTTTCAGTGTTCTTGTGCCTTTTTGGTTCGTGTTCTCCAATATTTCACCCTTCAGGTCCTCCTGATGATTTGGTTTCATCTTACAACAAGATATATGACTACAACAAAAAAATCCTATACATTAATTTTTTTAGAGAGCACTTCTCATAAAACAATGCGAAATATTTGCTTACAAACCTTCCTTATTTGACTGTGGAGAGACATTTACTGTTGGAAATTAGGTATCGTGTACTGCTACAAAGCTTTACCCTCTAAAGATACACAACCCAACATGAAAAATACAAGATTTAATACCGATGTGCACTAGTGGCGTATTTTTAATATCATATGAACTTTAGATTAATTGTAGTTTTTTTACGTTTTTTACTATTACAGAACGACGTTAATGCATTAATGGTGTTTGTCTACAGATTATAAGGTTTGTTTGTTTGTTTTGAGTGTGTGCCGGGTATTCGCGAAAAGTTGCAAAAGGATCACTTCCGCTAACTTTCCCTAATTTTGAACTGACAGCCTAGAGGGAAGGCAGCTAGTCAACAGCACCTACCGTGAGAATTGGCCGTTACTCTTATAATACACCCACGACCTCAAAGTGTGGAACTTTTTTTTTTTTCGGCAACGGAGACGAACCAGGACCACAGTTCGGCATACCCACTTGACCACGCTCAACCGTCAAGATAAGAAATGACATATGTGGTTGAAATGTATTAATTTTTTTTGTCATTTTGCATATTGTGATAAACCGTGTTTTTATAGGCAGATTTAAAAATTAATCTTTTTATTTCAGTACTCTTCGTGTGCCTTTTAAAATATGTTGGAAGTTTCTACCAAACTTCTTTAAGTAATGAGACATTTTGCTCACAATGAAATAGGTGTGTTTTGAGCAGCCATTTTGTTTTTCGCGATTTTTACAATTAAAAAGAAATTTCTGAAATGGCCAACATCTTTTTATATTATTTAGCACATTCAACTTGTATTGGAAAAAGGCAGGTTAGACATTTATGCTAAAAATGTTTGTATTTTGTAATATATTTTATGGATATCGTACAGACAACAAACGTACACAAAAATGCTTAGAAACACAACGTCACACACTCCACATATTTAGAAGAAAAATGTTGATCAATGGGAGAGCAGAAAAAGTGGACCTAACTGAGTACGTGAGCATATTATATTTATTCATTTTCTTGCTCACGAGATTAGCATGAACCAGAACCATTCTTTTGGCTGTTCCATTCACCAACATGAAGTAAGGTACTGTAAGGATATTGAAAAATGTAGTTGATTTACATGTGAACGACTTATTTTTTCGTGGGAAATTCCTTAAAACGAGATCAGCTTATGCTATAGAAATAACACTCAACTGATTGCATAAGGTTACTATGGTTACTCTCCAACAGATCGAATATCTTTACATAGCTTATGAGAGGAAAGTAACACTTAACTTTTAGGTTACTACGGTTACATTCCACCAACAGAATAAATATCCTCACACACTAAAATATATCTGTGTAAGTTCCAAATACATATTTTCCACGCATACAATTATGTTATTGCCATCTATGAACAAGTAAAATCACTAATGTTGATTTCAAAACTACTTAAAATTATATGAAGACCAACAATCAAGTTAAGTGCTACGAGAAATCCCAAAATTATTACAGAATATTATCGCATATTTTATCCTTGTCTTAATTTAGCTGAATACTCTCGTCAATAACAGATTAGGACTCTCATTAGGTAGACAATTTACTAATTTTATCAGCATACTACTATTGCCATTCGTGGCAGCACTCATCAATCGATTGGCTATCTGGAATTATTAAACCAGCATTTTGATTTTCCGCTTTTTTTTCTTTGAGATAATTCCTTATCTTTTAAAGCACGAATCTTCTTGTATTTTCCAATACTTATAATAGTTGATAACAGCAATGTTTGTTCTCTTCAATATGATAAAACTTCTCAATATTACGTCTAATTGATTTATCTGCCAAGACATGCTTTAATATTGCATCATTCAGTAAGAATGAAGCATTTTTTTATGGTTGTTGTTTCACGAAATTGACAGGTTTTCATCACTTATGTCCACTGATTATTATTAGCTCTTCTGATAGTTTCCCACTGTTCATGCGCAACTGTGATGATGATAGCTGCTATTAATGGTTTGTATCTTTTCTGTGAAGATGATGTTTGTAACCTCTTTGTTAACTGTGGTTAACTTTTTCCTTTGTGAGATTGTTAGATTAGTATTTTAATAATAACAATTGCCGTCGGAGAGTATCTTTTTACAATAGCTGTGCGCCCAAATGCATGATTACAAAAATAATGAGCCTTTGTTAAAAATTTATAATAAAATTCATGCTTTAGAAATGGTTCTTCTGTTCCATATCATGGCTGCCTTAACATGTTTAGGGTTGTGTCAATTTGCCTCGTGCGTTTATGCAATGCTTTACATAAAACTGCTATGAGATATTTTTACTAAACTTTGTTTGTTTGTTGTTAAGCACAAAATTACAAATTGAACTAGCTATGTTGTGCAACAAAACTTGTATCGAAACTCAATTTTGAGCATTATAAGCTCTAAGACTTACCGCTGAGCCATTGGGGAGATGGGGAGGGGGAGGTAGAGAACTTTCAGTGAACGAATTGTTTAGTTTGAGTTCAACATATGTACTCAAAATATTTGAAAGCAGTGTAATATTTTAAAACATACCAGAAAGTTAATTATTGATTCATAAATTATTATATTTTTTTGTGTAAACCTTCAGTTATCTTATGAAAATAACGCTCGTAAAATGTCCTTTTTAAATATCGTTCTAAATTTGACACATTTGTACACTAATAGCTTCGAAAAATCGTTCCAATCTTGATATTTCGATTTCTAATATTTATGCACTAAGCCTTAGAACATAAAGTTTGATAGAAAATAACCAAAACTTTCGTTGACATTTAACTTCTATGTAAAATGAAAAGGTTTGGTGTTATGTCAAAATATATATGCCAAATAATATTTAAATATAATTATATTTAAACGCCTTGGTTCATTGGATTGAGCATTCACGTACAAGTTTGATGTGTGTGTGTGTCTTGATTGTTAAAAAAAAAACAATGAAAATTAGAATAGCTTCTAGTCGTGTAGACACTAATCCAAGACATTTTCCCGAGGTTGTCTCTTACAAGTAACGACGTTAGAAAAACACAATTAAAGGTAACAAATCATGACAATGAAGATAACACTAATAATAATAAAATTTACAGCTGGTATTATTTATTTATTTTTTTCATAATGTACTGAAGCATCTTGCTATAATATATAATTTTATTTTTATGAAATGCGCTCCATTGTTGGGTGGAACGATTTATTTCCATACTTTTCTTCAGCCTGATGTGGTGATTTTTAAGACACCGCAGTTATTACCTTTTCACGTTTTGTTTTTAGCTAGAAATGTTTTGGGGTTATTATTGTCTCGTTACAGAACTGATGCCCCCCCCCCCCAGTGGCACACAGCGGTATGTCTGCGGACTTACAACGCTAGAAACCGGGTTTCGATACCTGTGGTGGGCAGAGCACGGATAGCCCATTGTGTAGCTTTGTGTTTAACTTCAAACAAACAGAACTGATATTAATAGTGTGGTACCTTTTGTCCGATATCATTTGTGTTATTCGTGTATATGGCGCAATGTAGTGGTATTGGTATATTATTATATTTACTATGATATAGAGAGCATAATGTTGACAGTACGATGGTGTACATTATGGTAATAGTTTCATTTTTTCCTTGATTTAATAATATTGTTTTCTAATATTGATGATGTGTATTGTCTATGATAGTAACAGTTTTTTGTACGGTTGTGATGATGAATCTTACCTATCATAGTAAACATTTCTTCTTTTTTTTCTTCGTTTGTTGTTAAGCACAAATGGCTATCTGTTCTGCGCCCACCACAGATATCGAAACCTAGTTTTTTAGCCTTATTAGCCTTCAGACTTGTCGCTGAGCCATTGGAGGGTATCTTCCATTTTAATTTTAATAGTAAAAGTATTTTTATTAATATTAACTACCGATCAGAGCAAGCTGTTACTTAGAGCGAAACTGAAAAGCAATCTGGAAATCAGTATAGCTAATTAAATATATTTTTCTTACGTTCTTACTTATAGAGATTAGTATGCATTATTTCATTAGTTGGGTACCCTCGGTGTTTTCGGCCGTAATCCCAAAGTGATAACAAGAATGCCATTTTGTGTGATGCCGATTATTTGTCTTTCTATGATAGTGATTATGATGTATACTGTAATAACGATGGTGTATCTTTTTTTAACAATCATGATGTATCTTTCTCATAATACTGATAATTTGACTTTTCTCTGTGTTAAGTACTGGAATTTTGAAAGACATGTTTTATGTTTTATTCATAGATTTTTTCTTTTTTTTCTTACATACAGCCGAGCCATTAAGACGAACCAGGATCTGTTACCAAGTACGCCTTTGTCCAGTCTCTTTAGGGATGACTTCTGGGGTACACCGCTCTCACACAGTGGTTCCCATAAGTCCTATCGGCCGCTCTGTGTCCTGTCCTTCCGTATGAACTACTGGCTGGGGGGTTTAGATCCATGGGGCTACCATGTGGTCAATGTTCTTCTGCACGTCTTGGTGTCGGGGCTTTTTACCCACCTGGCAGCAGGGGTCTTTTTGCAGCGTGCATTGCCCACCGCAGTGGCTGGCTTGTTGTTCGCCGTCCATCCAATCCACACAGAGGCTGTGTCAGGGTTGGTGGGTCGTGCAGACGTTGGGGCTTGCCTCTTCTTTCTCTTGACACTGCAGGCCTATGTTCAGTACTGTAAATGGCGAGACAAGGAACCTGAATACTGTGGTCGTCGCTGGATAGCTCTTTACGGAACACTTGCGCTAGCTTCGGCAGCCATGTTGACCAAGGAACATGGCATTACAGTGCTGGGGGTGTGCGTACTGTACGATGTCGTGATCCAGCATCGTCTAACCCCGAAGGACATACCTGCCGTTCTAGCAGAGGTGAGAATTTACTTAATGTAGATTCATATATAGATAACAATTGTGTTCAGTGTATTCCACATGTATGTAACGTATTCATAGATCAGAATGATTCATATATATATAACAATTGTGTTCAGTGTATTTCATATGCATGTATCGTGTTCAGAGATCAGAATGATTCATATGTATATAACGTGTTCATAGATCAGAATGATTCATATATAGATAAAATTGTTTTCACTGTATTTCATATGTATATAACGTGTTCATAGCGCAGAATGATTCATATATAGATAACGTGTTCAGTGATTCATATATGGATAAAGTGTTCAGAATGATACATATATATAGATAACGTTGAGAGTGATTCATATTTAGATAACATATTCAGAGTGATTGATATGTAGATAAGATGTGCTCCGTGATTCATATATAGATAACATGTGCTCCGTGATTCATATATAGATAACATGTGCTCCGTGATTCATATATAGATAACATGTGCTCCGTGATTCATATATAGATAACATGTGCTCCGTGATTCATATATAGATAACATGTGCTCCGTGATTCATATGTAGATAACATGTGCTCCGTGATTCATATGTAGATAACATGTGCTCCGTGATTCATATATAGATAACATGTGCTCCGTGATTCATATATAGATAACATGCTCATAATGATACATATATAGATAACATGTTCAGAGTGATTCATATATTTACTGTTTAGTTGGCATTCTGTATAAGATTTTTTTACGAATCAGTGTTATATATATTTCTCACAAGTTAAAACCATTAGTCCGAAGAACGTGCTTATCACTTATCCACTATACTAATACAGATTTGTTAGGATAACAAGCGTATTCAATTTGTGACATTAATAATAAAGAATACGTAATCTAAATCTGTAGCCCCATATTTTAAGTCTTGTTAAGCTTGCAATAGTAACCTATCAAGGTAAATTATTTGTTTACACAACCAAACTGACCTCACACCAAAGTAACGGTCATTTATACAGAAATAAAGTTACATTCACATTAATTGATACTCTGGCCACAGCAGTGTGACGAATCTGCGGAGCAAGTCACAATGTGCCTAACAGTTCAAACAGTCTGTCGCAGTTAACTGCTGCTCGGAATCCTTGTATTTACCACAAATTCTGCATTGTCCAAAAACAACGATGGGACTATAAACTTTCTTAACAGGTTTAGTAAACTTGAATACTTCTGTTCAACTTCCTTATTTCGACAGTTTTTATTGCAGACACTAGAAACTGTTGTTTATCAAGTTACTCTTCTGAGACCACTGCTTGTGTAATGTTGAGAAAATGTTTAGGCGGATGGTATTAAGAGGATCGAATATTAAATGGCTGTGTGCATGTTTATTGGTTGATCCATACAAATATTATAAGAAAGAAGGTGTTGGGGGATAAAGAAATCTAGTGTTCCAGTATTGTTACATTTTACAGTTTAACGTTTAGTTTCTTATAGACTATACTTATGCAATGGAAATTGAACAATATTTATGATATTATTGTTGCCATTTTGCTGTTTTAAGTTAAAGAAACTATAAACAGAAATATGAATTACAGTGAATTACAGAGCAGTATCGTTATATCAAAGTTATAACTGACTTGTTATACCGTTGTGAAAAGTGATTTTAGTTCGCAACGTAAATGGTTTTTTTTAATTAAAAAGAATGATTCTTGCAATCACTCTTTTATTGGTACTTACTGGTGTGTCATGTATATTTTAGAAACGCTACCAGGGTCTTCGAGAGGGGCTTCTTCACCTCCTGGGGGCAACCGTTGTGTTGGTGGGGTTCAGAATTCACCTCATGGGCACAAAACCCCCGGACTTCGCCCCAGCAGACAATCCAGCAGCAGATAGCGACAGTTTTGTGACTCGGACTTTAACATTTTTCTATCTCCCAGCCTTCAATTTCTGGTTACTTCTATGCCCGCTGTGGTTGAGCTTCGACTGGTCAATGGAAGCTGTGCCCGTTATCTGCTCCATCTCCGACCCCAGGAACCTTGTATCTCTATGTTTCTATGGAGGATTAATTTATATTTTACTCTTTGTACATAAACATTTATCTAGAAAAGGAGTTCTTTCAGAAAGTGCCTTTAGTCATGCTTGTTTATGTCAAACTCTGAATCAGAGTCCAAAACTTACGTTTTATTCGAGCCACAGCGGGCCTGCGCAGAGACACAAAAAGTGTGTTCCTATATTGAACAATAATAATAACATTCACGCTTTCCTTCAGCCAAACTGTAATGGTCACCGTCTTTCGAATGGAAATTGTCATGTGCAACAGTCATTGTGTCAATCATCTGTGTGTTCTCCCGTTTTTGACTGTACTGAATGTACGATAACCAGCTCGTCTCGTCTGGAGGCTGTGACACTCTCCCTGGCTCTCCTAGTACTGCCATTCATTCCAGCCACCAACTTGTTCTTCTACGTGGGCTTTGTTGTCGCCGAGCGTGTGCTCTACATCCCTAGCATGGGCTTCTGTCTACTTATTGCACTAGGGTTCGAACAGCTATACAGGCGCCAGGAAAGTGCAAGACGCCGCCGAACGCTATTGTATATCTTAGTGCTTCTCTTGGTCCTTTTCTCCATACGAACTTTTAGAAGAAATCAAGATTGGTACACCGAAGAGAGCCTCTACAGATCTGGTATACCCATCAACCCGCCAAAAGGTATGTCTGTATCTATAGCATCGCTAAGCAAAGATAACAATTTTAGTACTTTCTTTGTCTCCTGTTCCCATTTCCATTGCAAAAAAAAAAAAAAAGGACTCATATTATTAACTTTTTCGTTTTCAAGTGGATAAAGTTATTATATAACTCCGTACGTTGTGTTTGAGTTCGTCGATCTATGTAAGAGATAAAAGCTTGTTTTAATATTAAAATTGTATTATTATTTGTACCAATTGTTTGCCATGTCATCTATCCCATCATGCGCCTCAGACGTTACATAGTGTAACCACATATTAGCTAAATATCCTTGTGGACATTTTAAAGAGTTTCAGCTACTATTAGTAAGTGTACTCTCAACTGGAAGCCTATTTAATGATAAGTGTGAATCACTTATCCTGGTGGTAAGGTGATAATACTGTTTTACAAAATGTATTACATACAACAACCTACACTATGTAAGCAGCGCATAAACTCTCATAACATGAAAGGTCAATAACTTTTACTTGATGTGTCACGTATAACCTATTATATATGTATATATAGTTCATTTTTCAAAATAAATGTTTTAGTTTTGGGGCTAAGATAGAATCGATATAGATTAGTAAGCTAATACCAAATCGATCTAAATCAGTAAGCTAATACCAAATCGATCTAAATCAGTAAGCTAATACCAATTTTTATCTATATCAGTAATTTAATACCAAATTGATCTAGATCAGTAAGTTAATACCAAATCAATTACACATGTTTATACTAAAATACTAAACTTGTAATGTTGTTATCATAATTGATATACAGTCATGGTTAAGTAGACATATACGTCTTTGTGTAGCAGTTGGTTTGATGATATTACTGTAAAAATGTTCTTGTGAACTTTAAAACCATAAGTGAACAACAGAATATATATCTGCATTATTTAAGTTGGTGTGCTACATTATTTATATTATGGAAATATATGAAGTATTTGTTTGCCTTTTCATGAAGTTCATACTTATACAGGCACTATGCTCAAGTACGTAAAATAGCCTTTTTTTTTTTCTTTCCGCAAAACTTTTATACAGTGTTTATTAATTGAAAACATCGCTCGTTTTGGCGACTTTTTGGTGTAAAGCACGTTTATTGTGAAAAAAAAAAGAACCTTCAATCTCTACCGGAGACAGTGTCGCACGCCCCCAGGTGTACAATAAGAACGCTGTTAGCGTCCCATGTGGATGCCGAAAATTGAGTTCACTGATGGAATATGTGTTAGGGAGTGCGATATCTTGGCTAGCCTTGATAACGAAGTGTCAAATCAGTTCAGCTCCCGACATCGACCGATCTGATCACAGGCCTCGGGGCGCTAGAAAGCAACGTCAATGATACAGATTCTCGATGATTACTTCTTCGAAACGTTGTCAGAGATTCCATCACTTATGAAAAATGACTCTCCAAAAACTCCGTCATACGTAAAAGCAAGATGTTTAATACGTCTACAGTATAAGCTCTCCATCTGCGTCTTCGCTATATACACTCGTATTTACAAATTCATTTCTATATTAATCTTGTATCTTTAGTAATAGCTTCAAGGTCTAATTTTCTGAAGTCGATGCTCAGTAAGTAATATTGCTGGTTATTAAGTTTTTTTAGTCTACTGCATCCGGTTAGCGAAGTCATACGCTTTAATAAGCACTGGAATCCAGAGGTTTACACTATCTTACACAGCAGACCAACTCATTTGTATTAGTGATGAAAATAACTTTTGTGTCATCTGTACAGAGTTTCTTATTTCGACCAAGTTTATGATAGCTAACACAACGAGTTTCTAATAAATTGCAAAACAAAATTAGTTACAAATGGCATCATCTCCTGAGTCACATGTACAAAAGATTGAGTACGTTATGTTAAAACGATTTGAATATATAAGTCACGTGACTACCACAGCCGATATAAATTCATGAAGGAACAGAATGTATAAGAACAACAATTTGACATTGGTTGTCGTTTACTTAAGTAGTATGATGCCACTGAAAATCCATCGCTTTGGGGAACGGTACGTAACAGCAATTTCTGACACGAAATATTCATACACTGATATCATAAAGATTTATTCAGAATGGGGATTTAGAATTTCCAAGACGGGGATATTGGAAAACAAAGGAATATAAATAAACTTGGGGAAGGGGGGGCAAGGGCCATCCAGAAAGAGACCTGCAACAAGTTGTACCCCAGCAATGGTAAGCAAAGTAGGTGATAATCCATAAACACAAAATTCAGTGGCAAAAGCCGCCCAGGCAACATAGTCAAAAATGGTCGCCATCTGGAAAAGCAACACAAGTTGCTTCCACGAAATATCTGATCAGCCATCGCATATCTCAGGCAGCTCGAGAATGAAACGGTTATTCATGCTGTAACATTTGAATACATACTGATCAAATCGCCTATGAATCTTTTTATGTGATCGGACTGTTGAAGCAGGAATTATGAAACTGTCGTCCTCATACATTAGATGGATTATGGAAAATGTACAGGGTAGTAGTATGATTTGTACATGTCGGAGCCTTTTGTATTGGAAACTATGCTGCAGGGCTATTATCAAGATGCACGGTTGGTTGCTCAGATAGAGCATGACCGACGCAGTGATATGGACTGTAACGACGAGATGAGGTTCCAAAATAATTTTGATATAACGTATCCAACCCCTGTATAAAAAAAGCACAACATTTCATCTAAACCCATGCTTTAAAACCAAAACCTTTAAGATAAAAACATTGAGTTAATAAATCATAATACAAGCAGCATGTCTGAAATGCAATCAATTATTATTTGTTTACGTTGAAATCTAGCTACTAAGCTATTGTGATATTTATTAAGTCCATAAGCTTGAAAGATTTATATTTACTGTGTAGAAAAGTAATATAACAACTACATCAAACATTTCGAAAATGCGGGTCATTTTAGTACAATACTGAACAACTGACCAACAACAATGAAAGGAAAACTTTTATTTCTAAAGTAATGCCAACAAAATATGTC